ATATATATATATATATATATATATATATATATATATATATATATATATATATATATATATTTATTTATTTATTTCAATTAGTTTGGATATATAAATGATCTTTTGTTTAAAAGATACACTTCCAAAAGCAATGTGATGATAATTTAATCTTTACTTGCATAATAATTTTCTATATCTAAAATAAACGCACAATATGTATGATAAGTTCAAGTGAAACTTTGTGGCTAAAACAAGATAATGTAAAATTCAGATGCAATTTATTTTATACAGATATTCAAGAAAATTCTGTTTGTATGTATATGATTGCAAGTCATTGTGAAATAATTATTGTATAGCTTACATACGCGATATTCAATATATTAACAACAACGCATCCTGTCGTACCAAAAAGAAATAAATAAAGTTAATTTTACTTTTATATCCTCATATTGAGGATGGATTTTCTATCTTGTGATTAGAGCTTAATAAATATTTTACATATGAATGTTACTTCTTGGCAAATATATTTATTTTCCTATTTATTTTTCAATCACACAAATAAGCTTCCTAAAAATTATAAAATTTTTAACAAATTCAATCTCAGACTTTTCATGTCTCAATAGTAACATTATATTCGATAACACTTTGACTGCCACGTCACCCAATTATGAGTGACAGTTCTATTTACTCAATTGGAAGTGATTTTATTAAATATTTATAAGGATATTGTGAATATGGAAATATAGAAAAAGTAAAATATCAATATAATATATACTAAATGTATTAAAGACAAAATTCAAGATTACATTTTACATGGTATTTTGGAAAGCAACCTAACTAATATAATATCGCTCAGAATCCAACTTATACAGCTAGCATTGCGGCGATATGAAAATTTTACCTGCTCTTAATTGTGTTATTATATTTAGCAGACTATTTGTTCACGCGGGCACTTGACGCAAGACACTGTTGTGTCTCTTGATAATTATTATGATAATTGATAATTATTAAGTTTATCTTTATGGTTGATGATTTTGATGAAAAGATGATCTTACATTTGTAACAACTTACATTTTAATTTTATTTTCGTTTCAAGAAGTAAACCTTCGTCAGTATAGAGATGGGCGCCCTAAAAGAGGCGCTTGATAATTATTTGCAAAAAATATGTCAATTAAATGCATCATTACATAAAAGTTTGTAAGTAGAGAATCTTTCCAAAAAGATTGCAATAATTATAATTTTATTTTTATCATGAGCTTTCAAATATTTCTGAAAGATGTTATCATGTCGTAAATTCGTATATAAAAAAAATAATAACTTGCAGTATACTATGAACGCTTTTTATATCGCGTGAACACTATAGAAAAGATTAAGATTATATAAAAAAGGTATTGAATATATATTAGATAGTAGAATTTACATAGTTTGTTTCAAATAACCGGTTCTTGTATACTTTAATATATGATTATTTTCAGCGGTCACACAAAGAATTTGAGCATGATGAAGTTTATGCTGGAATTCAGTGTGGCAGTCAAAATGTTAACACATTGCATACGGTTTACAAAATACCTCGTGTTTCGGAAACCGTACGTTGAAGTCGGGCTACGAGATATCTCATTTTTGCGCATTTCTACATAATCACATACTGACAGTGCACCATATTTAAAATAAATTTCTGATTGTTTATTGCAAAACTAACGGGATCGCATGGTAATTTAAATCAAAAGCCGAACAAATATAATATATATGATGTACGGGCCTTGGGAACGACTTAGGAAAGTAGGACACCGTATACAATGTGTTCATGATCAAACAGGAGATATCGAGATATGTATTAATATATAACTTATGATTATATTCCGCTACGGAATATCCTTAATTTGCTATTGTCAAAGCCTTATTTTAAATGTACGTACCGCGTATTCTTAATAAATAATACATAACTATAAAAAAATCATATATTATGTAATTCTCTCAAGCAGTTATGCTAATAAATTACAATAGTTAGTAGACAAGATCACCTATTTATTATTAGATTTTAAAAACTAAATTGAGATATAATGGATACATACAATTTTCTCGCTTCTTTGGAATTTTACTCTAATATTTTGTTCTAACGTTTTAGTAACATGCAAAGTTGGTACTTTTTGGAAAATAAATTTCGCAACAAATATATAGATACAGTATTTTTATATCTATATAATAATATATATTATATATATTGCTTTTATTATTTAAAATTTTAAATCAAATTACACGAAAAACTTCAATTTTTTATACAAGTTTTTGTATTGTCTTTCTATATGAATTTTAAATAAATTGAAATTTCTTAAACAAATTTTGGTACAATAGGCGGATACGGTTAATATAGAAAGAGAAGAGGCATTTAAAGCCTAAAAGCGCGCAGCTATAAAAAGGCGTATAATCTAACCTGTGTGTGTATAAATATCACCAAAAGTATTAAAAAGTACAAATGCCGGTTCTCCTCAGACATTGTCAATAAGGAGAATCTATTTTCAGATAAATCTCACATTTACTTCATAATGCGATCATGTTGTTTATGTCATGCGCATTACGATAACTCTATCCTCATCTTAATAATAAATATATATAAAAAACAATCTCTTTTATATTCATTATAATAATATCCATTATAATGATTATAATGATTATAATCCATAATAATACCTGAATTCTACATATACATACATACATACATACATACACATATATATATATATATATATATATATATACATATATATACATATATATATATATATATATATATATATATATATATATATATATACATATATATATATATATATATATATATACACACATACATATATACATATCTATATATATATATATATACACACACATACGTGTGTGTGTGTGTGTGTGTGTGTGTACACACACACACCATACAGGGTGAACCAGAGCGACTGTCTATTATAATGTTTTTTATTTTTACAGTGCAGAATGTGTGAAACCGTCATTGGACTAAAAGTGTGTAGTGTAATTGGAAAGCTCTTATTACTCACTTTTAGAATCTTCTTTCAGAATTAGATTCTATTACTTTGACTAAAAAAAGTTATTTTGCATAAAATTCAAAGTTCATTGAAAATACTTAGAATGGTTAAGGATCTCAAACAATTGCTAGGAGCAAAAGTTATTTGTCTTTATAAACATTTTCACAACCTGAACTCAAAACATACCCTTTTCGAGTAATTGACCTTCTAATAGCGGGGGGCAGGCAGGAGATTTTGAAAATATTTTTATTGAATTCTACTGAGTTAATTCGCGATGTATAAAATGTTCACTTCATTGTCTTATTTTTAACCGTTCTTGAAAAAATCATAGTGGACAGTCACTCTGATTTACATTGTATATGTGGAGAAAATATCCATGTATTATTAAGGATATTTTATTATTATAATGATATTTTATTTATTATAAATAAATTAGATAACAAATTTATCTATTTTGTTTGATTTGATTAGTCTTTTTAGATTTGGCTTCGATCCTGTGTTGCAGTTTTTGAATCAATTCGTCCAATTCGTCCTGGTAATCGAAAAGTTGGATTAGATGTCACGTTTGCGTTTCGCGCATGTTAGCTTGCTAATATAATAAATATAATGAAATGCGTTATACTTACTTCATCGTATGTATACATTAAAGTGCAATGTTTCAAAATTTGCTTTTTACGACTGAGTAATTGCAACGCGTGTGGTAAACAGTAAAAACTGTCTTCTTGCGAATTGGTCACCATTGACACAAATAAATTGGCTCTACATGTTTCACATTCATAATCACCGTCATCTTCTTTTACTCTTTTCCTTTTTTTCCCTTTTTTACTACCTGGTAGAGGCACTCTTTCTCTTTTGGTAAGGCCCAAATTTTTTAGCTGTTTACGATAATCTAATTCTTTCTTACGAATCTTTATCACACTTGGCAGTATCTGCAAATATGATACTAATGTAGTAGTAAATGTTTAAAAATTGTTTACTATTTTATTTCATTATAAAATTAAATGTTACTTGCAAGGTACCAAATAAACTATATTTTAGTAACAATATAACGCGTCTACATAAATAAATTATAGGATATGTGCTATAATTTTACTAAGTTTAAAGAGAATCTTGAATATCTTTTATACATATACATATTATCATACCTGTTTCAATATATCTATTTGAGATCTTGTATCGTTAATAATATTAAATAACAACCTCTCAAAAGAAAAAATAGACGGCTCACAACTGTCTTGTATATCCTGGAAACATATAAAATTTTAATTTTGCCAAACAATAAAGTTGTGAAGTTACTAATCACGGATAAAAGATTTATGCACGTACTTTGAACACTTGCTCGGCGGTTTCTAACCAAGATGGTTGTGCAAAATATACACTTTCTGATACTACGTAACCAGTACATATGCTCGACGTGAACGCTTTCGGAAATACAATTATAAATTGCCCTGGTTCCTGTACGATCTGGCATAACGATACACCGTTGTCTATTAATAACTTCGGCGGTACCATGGCAGTGTCCGATGGTAACCATATTGTTTTATTTTTACAATATTGTGGCACCATTTTCGAGAGCGCCTCCCGGAAACTGTTATTGTGCTCATCTGGTATTCCGTACCAGATTTTTTTTGCGCCCGTATGTAGATATTCTATCCATGGTAAACCGTGAGGATCACGATACCAGCAACAAGCGCTGAACAACATACCCACGTGCAATGTTGGTACAGTTACACCTGAAAACGTAAGAGTTATACTATTTACATAAGAATACTTAATTAACATATCTTTGTTGGAAAAAAACGCGATACAGGATACCTAACGATACATATATAAAACTTTCGTGTATATGTAGATCAGGTCAAATTGGAAAAAAAATCTCCTCATTTTGTAAATCACGTAAAATTTTGAGTTAGTAGTTGAAGGAGATTGGCAAATAATCGTATGAGACAGTGCAGATAGTGTCGGTATTATGATATTTCGTTATGTGTTCGTACATTAGATCAAACTGAACTAAAAAATCCTCTATCATTTTGTAAATAATCACAGAGTTTTGAAGATTATACTAATTAAAGATTGGCGAATAATTTTGCGCGACTATTCGACAATTTTCTCTAATTAATAATTCAAAATTTTACGCAGCTATTTGCAAAATAGTACTTATTTTTTGTTCAGTTTAATTTAAGCTACGTACACGGAATTTTATATGTTATTGTTAAACATCCTGTATAAAAAAACTCTGAACTACATAGGAAAACTTTGTATTGCAGCTGTTACTCGTTACTTATTTATTCGTTCTCGAAGAGCAGATTGCGTACGATCGTATGAAAATCGTTTCCGTACTACATACCCATTAATGGACCCAAAGCTCTCAATACCGACCCAGCATTGTTAGTGAGTACTTTAAGATTCCACGGATGTCTAGCGAATGGGCTGTTTTTGACAACAGGGAAGCCAAATCCACGTCCACTCGAATCGATACTCGCCGCGTGTACACATACGTGCCGTTTTCTCTCAGCAACGTGTTTCCAAAATGCACTTTCCACTTCACTCGCGGAGGCACCTTCAGTTTCGTTGCTGCCTCGTTGATTTTCACCGAACCACATACGTTGCGTGTTACGAGCGATTCGGTAAAAAGCATTCAACGGCATGTTTCTCCCCTTTGATATATTTTTTATAATTAATATCAATATAGTTAATATAAAAATTATTATATTAATTATATCATTATCTTAATATATAATTATATTGTTTTCTTTTGATATTGATTTTTTCTTATTAAAAATTTGATAAAAGAATTTCTTGACTTTTGCACTCTGCATTAAATTTCTCTATTTAAACTATACTTTTACATAACTATATATATAACTATATTTTTATATAACTATATATATATATATATATATATATATATATATATGCAACTATATTTTTATCTACACCTATACTATATGATCAAAAATAAAGTAAAAATGAATGTTTGCAATCATACTTTTACAATGCATTCCTCAATCTCGTCGGAACTGTCGTCCTCTTCTTCCTCATCGTTATCAGTGGATGATGTCTCTTGTCTTTCCAAGTTTTTACTTTCGCGCTTTATCCATTCCTGTTCAACTTCGTCAAATAGTTTTTCACGTTCGTCTATATACATTGTTCTCATTAGATGCAAAGATCTTATAAACTTTTTTCTAAAATAATATTCACTATTTAATACCTGGAGATAACGTGTCGTACGGTAACAGATATTTACAATAAATATCATCTAGTTTAGTAACACGATCTTGCGCAGATTTGGGTATCTTCATACCATCTGCTACCTTTTGCCACTTCTTTTTTTCAATGACCTCTTTCAATCCACCTAAACTTTGAACTGTTTGATACAAGTGAGGTAAATCGACTTCCATCCCACCGATCTAAAATAATTTGTTATCAACGAATATATTTATTATCAACGAATAAATAAACGATAATAAAAAAATGATTTTATACCCATGGTGGGTGAGATAAGGTGATACTTTGGGTAGCTAAATATTTCTTGATAGCCATCAATTCTTTCACATTAGGACCCCATCTATGAAGCATGCGATGTACATATTGATTGTAAGCGGTGAATCTCATATCATCAGACACCTTGCATTCTGGCTGAAAGATTGAAAACAGGATAATGTAAGCTACATATATTAAAAACATGGAGGAATAAAAGCCTATAAAGAATCACTAACACGTTATATAACACTACTATGTCTGTGTTAGTGGTTTTTTATAGGCCTTTATTCCTCCATATTTTTGATTTTATCAATAACAGCCATAAAATAAAGAATTCTTCTTTCTACACATATTAGTATAACGTATTTATTATTATATACTAAATATTTACATGAACTATACATATAAGAACGTTCAAAAGTATTTTAATAATATAATAATGGAGTTATTTTATTGTTTGTAATAATATTACATATATATTCCACAATATACAAAATAAATTATGAGCTAGACATATTTTATATTATACATAAAATAAATTATGAACTGAATATATACTTTACATTATATATAAGATAAAATTATAAGCTAAACATATTTTACATTATAAAAAATAAATATATTATGAGATAAATATTATAAATTGATAATAAAATAACATTCCGCACATTACATGTCGTATAAAATAATCTGTCTTTGTCAATGTTCATAAGCGCGTTTTGGCATTAAGTATATTAAAGGAAACTTTATAGTATCCTGACAAGGAACAATATTAAAGTATACTTTATGACACTGTATCCTTAATATAAAATTTCACAACCATTTGTTTGTATCACGGATTCACATTTCCCGAACATATATTCAATAAATTTCAATACAGTCTCTTGCATAATTTTCTTCTACTTTGCACATTAGAGTTTCTTGTTCTAACACTTTTTAACACTTAATTCTAACACTTATTTTATACACATATGCTCAATCAGGTTTAAATTCGTACACATATATTTAATCAGGTTTAAATTCGTATTTTGACTAGGCCATTGTAAAACATTAATTTTTTTTTTTGAGCAAAGTAATCTTGTGTATACACTTTGAATGGTGTGTAAGATCATTATCTTGTTGTGACATTCAGTTCAGAGGTATGTTACTTCTAACATAAGAGAGATCACATTTGTTTAAAAAATTTTGGTGAACAAAGTCATGGTGCTCTCTACATACCGTAGAGACAATAAATATATTAGAGGACTGATACCCTTATTGAAGAAAAATCCCTGCACCATGACATGTTCTTCACTGTGCTTCACAATAAGTATTCAGTAACATAGCTTAAATCTTTCATTTTTATCATTCCATGATACTTTCGACCGCTCCGTGATTGTCTATACACATGGTATATCTTGTAAAATTCAGTCCTCTTGTACTTACTCTTATTACTCCCAGTCTTGTTTTTCTTTTTGTATTTTTTTGTGGCTTTCTGCCTTCCAATACACGACATATCGCGATATTATGATTCTTAATTCCATGATCTTTTCGTAAATCTTGAGTAATTTGTATATAAAATCTTATAAAGAGAGAGGTCTATTCATTGTCTTCTTGTAATATTGTTGGTGTTCTTTCTTGTTTTCCAATAATAAGTTTAGTTAATGGACTTTGCAAAGCGAACATGGTCCTGAACTCTCCACTTGTAGATCCAGCAATTGACATTCTAAGTATCTCAGGTTTGTGTGAAGTTTCACTAGGAGTGAGTCCCTCATTAAGGTTTGCTTTGCAATATCCTCACTTGTGGCTTTTATACTGCATCTGTTTTCTACTTCGTATCTGGATACGTCAAAGCACAACGGACACTGTTTGAGAGCCACATACGAATCTTCGACGAAGATTCCTTTTTGTTCCTTTTTTGTTCTTCGTTTTTCTTTACTAATAATATCTAGATATGTCGAACAATATGTAATTTCATAACTAACTATTGCATGTAAACATTGAATAAAATTGTATGTGTCAAGAAATTTTTTACTACTTAAAGGCAATTTTTTAGTAAGAGTTGATTCTATTAAGACATATTAAGGCTCCTGGCGTCTCGCATTGTCTATCTCTTTTTAGTTACGTCAGAAGCGAGAAAATGCATGCTAAACATTCTTGCAAAATACATTAAAATAAAAATATAGTATATCCATAAAGTAATATTTGCAATCGATTAAACAAATTTGTAAGATATTCCGTTTTGCTCTAACAATCAATAATTTATTATAAGTTAACTTGAATAGAAATAGGCGAAGAAATGGGTTAAGAAGATAAATTGTATGTCACGTTAATATACGATAAATTATTGATTGTTAGAACAAAAGAGGAGTGCACGGAATATCTTACAAATTTGTTTAATCGATTGCAAGTGTTACTTTATGGATATATATTTTTATTTTAACGTATCTTGCAAAAATTTTTAGCACGTATTTTCTCGCTTCTGATATTAAACAGAGATAGACAATACGAAGGGCCAAGAGCCTTAATGTCGTCACACTACGGAGAGAGAGAGAAAGAGAGAGAAAAAGTACTGTACTCCCGCCACATACACATGTGTGAACATTGAAACAAACGCATCGATGTTTTTCATCATTACCAACTTTGTACTCAACAAACTAAATCAAAGGACTTTCCTAAATCAAGCACTACTATATACTATTTTGCATGGCAATAATACTTACTTTGAAATTTGCCGGAGGCACGACTTTACATATTCCAAACTTCTCGACGCTCGGTCTTATTTTGTCTATATATTCCAGAGGATCCTGGAAATCCTTCTCCGTCGGATGAAACGTCGGTGCCTCGACTACAAAAATTTCATCGTTCATGTACGAGGTTGGTCCGTAGTTATTATTACTCGTAGAAGATGACTCGGGTTTCTGTTTGCACTTCATCTGCGTCCTGAAAGATATTACATCAATATAGAAGTGTGACGTGTAACGCAAAATGTAGAATTATTTGATGCAAAAAAGAAAGAAAGGGAAGTTTATTCCTTAATAAAGATATATATATATATATATATATATATATATATATATATATATATATATATATATATATATATATATATATAAGATATACCTTTTCCCGCTTTTCGCCGAATCGATAGAAGCTTTTCTCTCTCTGGATAACATCGGAGACCTTCCGAGCCTATCTAAATTGTTGCTAGCGCTGCTACTCTGTCGACTACTCGTATTCGTCGTCTGGACATCACTTATCGCTGGCGACGCCGGTTGCATTTCCGCGTTTGAAGTGGTCGCTGTCACAGTAGTCGCTGTCATCGTAGTCAACGTAGTTGCTGCCGTCATAATCGCTACCACCGTAGTCGGCGTAGTCGCTACTATCGTAGTCGGCGTAGTCGCTACTACCGTAGTTGACGTAGTCACTACCACCGTAGTCGGCGTAGTCGGTGTAGTCGCTATCATCTTAGTCGGTGTAGTCGCTACCACCATAGTCGGCGTAGTCGCTATCATCGTAATCGGCATAGTCGCTACCATCGCAGTCGGTGTATTGGCTACCACCACAGTTGGCGTATTCGCTACCACTGTAGTTGGCGATTTGGCTACCACCATAGTCGGCGCTGTCATGATCGATTCAGTCATAATCGGAACCGACGAAGATACTACCTTAAGCGACGGAGTTAATGTCGATAAATGCTGTTGCTGTCCCGTGAAATCGAATGAACCAAGTGGACCGGGTGGACAAAGTGGACCAGGTGGACTTGGTGGACCACGTGTTGTAGGTTGTACCGTTCCTACAGGTGGCGGGTGAAGCTCCATGGCTAACGGCGACTTGGTGACCAACTTGGCTCGAAGGAGCACCCTCTGGTTGGAGCCAGGTCGTCCATCTGTGTCGAGCTTAACGGCCACACCTTGTATCACTTGTCGTTTCTGTAAATTCGGTCCAGACCTCGTGATAGCTTGCAACGGGATGTAGAACAACTGCTCGTCATCGTCGTCGTCGTCGTCGTTGTTGGCGTCGGTCTGCGTGGATATCTCGTTGCTTTTTTGCTGATTTATATTCTTCTTCTCTGTTTTCTGCTCGTCGTTTTGTGCTTGCTGTTCCTTCGTGTTCTCGTCGAAATTCACCTGCACCGCGATGGAAGAACTGCAGTTCTCATTGCTCCAATTATTCACTAGTTTATTGAGCGGTAACACTTTAATGTTAGTTAAATCGACCAAGTTGTTTAATTTCAGAGCTGCGTTCGGCATAGATATAGCTTCCGCTGTGATCTCTTGGTCCTTCATTACGTCAGTGCTGCTCGTTGATTTCTCGCTAACGTTTGGCACGCTCGGAATGGCCAGGCTCTCTTCAATAATCGGTGTGTTGAACTCAGCGGCTGCTTGAACCTTTGATGTGGACGCTGTCGTGGACGATGCCATGGACGTTACTGCTAAAATAGGGGTTGCCACGGACGTTACCGTAGCTACTACTGTGGATGTTGTCGTGGATATTGTCGTAGATATTGTCGTAGATGCTACTGTAGATGTTATCGTAGATGTTGTCATGGATGTTACCGTGGTTGTTATCGTGGATGTCATGGATAGTGCCGTGGATTTTGTGGATGCTGCTATGGATGACGTGGAGGACGTTACCGCGGGCACTACTGCGGTCGGCTTCAAAATCAACTTCATGATTGACTTTGCAGTTGGCTTCGCAACTAACTTCGTAGTTGATTTCGTGATCGGTTTCACAGGAGGTTCCAGAGATTCAGTAGACTTCTCAGTCGATTTCGCGTTATCTTTGAGTTTTCTCCTAAAAGGCGTGCTAACAGGCACTTCGGTATCGCTCTCGAACGCGTAGACGCTGCTCTCGTTTTCTGGTGAAAACGCATTCGCGTTGGGAGTCACAGTTTTACGTTCTTTAACTTTAGGTAAGAAAGGTTTGCGCGGTTGAAAGATTTTCTTCTCCGTGGACGATTTCTTCTCCGTAGAACTGTCAGCCGTGTTCTGATCCGATTTTGACGCGGAATCGCTGCTTTCAGCGGTATCCTTGCTTGCCTTTTCACTTTTGATCTTGATGGCTTCCTTCGCGTCGATAATAATTTTATTTTGACTGGTACTGACAGTTGACGATTTGTCACTGGCGGTGTCCGCATTGGACTTTGGTGGCGTCGCGTTCTTATTGAGCATTTTCAAGCGATCCATCAGGCTCGTCTTATCTATCAGCTTGGAAAGCGTGACATTGACGGGGCGCACCAGGTGCTGAATCTTTGTCGGGATAGAGAGATGCGAGACGTCAACTTTCATTTTCTCGGTGGAGTCGTACCTGAAGGTAGAAACATTTTCCATCTCAAGCTTGCTCTCCTCCTTCGCGAGCGAGCTCTCATTTAGCCACTTCTCTATTCGTTCGGTCGACATGTTTACTCGTTCTTTCCTCGAGCGCAGAGCCGATAATGGCATATTCATGAGATTAGGAGAAACTTCGTCTTCGTGACTGCATTTTTTGCTAGTCTGCGTCGCGGATGGTAATGAAGAGTTCTGCGTCTTACGAGACGAATCTAATAGCGGCTTGTGTTGTTGCAAGGATGTCTTAATACGATCGTCAATCGATGAAGTTGCGACGGAAGAGTTGCCCTTGACTGACGACGTTTCTTCCTTTTGTTTTGGTGAGCTTGCTTTTTGGTCAACCGGCGTATTCAACATCTTGGCATAATCGAGTTTCTCGTCGACTAGTAAGTTGACATTGGCATGTGTCTGGCACGAATCCAAAACTTTCGATATTGCCTTCTTGGTAAATCCGCGGAAAGACTCCTCGTCGTCCGATACCTTCGACAAATCTACTTTTGTACTTTGCACCACTTCGCTGTGTTTTGTCGCGTCATCTTTCGTATTGCTAATATCGTCAGAGACTCGCTCCTGTTCCTCGTTCTCTTTCTTCTTCTTTATTTTGCTCAGCAACATTCCTAATGTCTCTTCCTCCGATTCCACGTCCTTATTTTGGTTTTTCAAGCTTTTCGGTTTAGACTCGCTGATATCAGATAATGCTTTTTGTGGATTTTGATCCCGTTTGCGTTTCACCGCCAATTTCTCATTGGCAGGCTTTACAGAATTTTGAGCTTGAGTATCCGGTTTGTTATTCGCGTTACTCGGCTCTTCTGACTGTACGGGAGGCGTATTTTTGGTAGATGACCTGAGACTTCTCTGCTCTCTGTTGATCGGTTTGTCGAGTTTCCCAAGACTTAGTCGAGTGATGGGCCTCGTGTTATTTTTTTCTATTACCTCCACGGAGCTCGCAGATTCTTCCTCATCGCTATCCTCCTCGCAATATGTCTGAACTCTTATGAGACGTTTACTCTTTATTTGCATCAGTTTATTGTTAATTTTGCTTTTATCTAATCGCTTGTTATCATTGATGGAGTTAACTTTGCAATCCTTGCTCTTACTGACGGTCTTCGCGGCAGTCTGCTTCGCTTTGGCTTTAACCTCATTCTCCGCTTGTGTTAATTTACGGACATTCGGTAGCTCGGGGTAACTCTCGATCGAGACATTATCTTCGGTTTCTAACTCGGAACCCTGAATTAATTTCCTCCCAAGAATTTCCATGTACACAGTGGCTGCTTCTTTGGTCTTTCTGGTAGGCCTGGTTGAGATATTTTTCGGGGAAATCGTGCCGCTGGACGATCTAGTAACTCTCCTCAGCTCGGACTTGCTTCTGGTGCAGACTTTTTTCTGAATGCTCTTTTGTACGTTGCGTTTTATTTGCGACGTTGTCTTTTCCGATTGTGACTCATCCTCGTCAGCCTCTTCCTTGTCATCTTCCTCCTCAAACGACTCATCTGTATTTGAAGATTCCGTACTCGTCAATCTTAAATTAAACTTTCTCTTTGGCTTGCCTGGTGGGATTTTCGCTTTTGACAAAGATTTGTTTGCCTTGTTCAGCAGTAAGCCGCTTCTTAAACCATGTCTCTTGGTTTGCATTTGAGGTAAGAACTTTTCTGACTCCAATTTCACCCCAGTGTTCAATGTAGCTCTTTCTGTAGATGATCTTGTCCTAACACAAGTGGCTTTTAGTTTGTTCTCTATTCTTTGTTTGGCGAGACGTTGCTCCTGATATTTTTTCTTAAGTGCCTGAACTGTAGATGTTGCTGTTTTAAGTTTACTGATATTTTTGTGTATTGTGCTAGGCATTTTCTTTTTCTCTGGAACAACAGGTTTTACTTTTGTCACATTTTTCTGACATGTCTCTTGCTTCGGAGTCTCTGCAGAAGTCTCAGGCAAAGAAACTGTATTGTTTGCAGAAGTATCATCTGCCACAGGTTTAGGTTTAGGTTCCAGGTTTTCTTTTGTATTACTGAAGTTGAAGAAATTTAAACTAGGTGGCAAAATGGATGTCCCTGAATTTGGAAAGAAAAGTTTGTTAAAGAATTTGCTTAAATTATGACTAAAGCATCGCAAATATAATTGAGTAAGATATATAATAAAATTTACTGAAAACAGTGTATTACCTCAATGTTTGCTACAATTTACTTCTTTTTCTCAAATAATTTACCTCTTTTCCTTTACAAGTATTATTTGGATTCAAATATTTTTATATAGCTTACATGTGAAAGATACATTCCATAATTTGTATTTCTTTATTAATTGGAATTGTATGTGTGTGTATGTGTATATATGTGTGTACACACATACAACATATATATAAGAACTACAAAATAATCTCTGTATTCTTTAAAATTTGATAAAACATTTTATTTTGAAAAATAATATATATTTTTTTGTCAAATTATTAATCTAACATTTTTATCAAGTATGTTATCATTTTTAAATAAACATTTTTACCTCTGAAGCATAAATATGTTAGAAAATCCTCAGTATTTGGACGTTTGTGAGTTATTAATTCTGTGATCATAGAAGGTTTGACTTTCTCTTTGTCCTTAACAGGTATAGGTGACGTAGTAAACACTGTAGATGCACCTTGTGCAAATTTTCTTTGTGCATGAACTTTGGTCCTAAAGTATATAATTATGGATGTAATATATATTTTTTTTCTTTTTTTTTTTTCGTTTTTTTTTCTTTAAATCCCTTCAGAAAGAGAAATAAAAAATAGACAGAGTACAATATAGGATTAAATACATATTGTGGAGTATATTTAACCAGTTATCAGTACATTAATTATATTGTAATTCGTTCAATTACAAATGATTTATAAGATCACCTTTTCGGAGATTCCGAGAGTGGTTCCATGAGGTCTACCAGGTCACCCTCCCGTTTTTTTCTCTTATCATTACGACTTAAAACCATTTTGCGGTGGTATAATAGGATTTCAATATCACTGACTAACCACTTCCCCACTGGACGCAAGATCTCTTCGGCGTTTCCGCGAAGAGTTTAGAATATGCTATATTAAATACATTTCTCATGCACGTGCAAATGAAGTTCACATTCGGATAACGTCATACGAACCAATATCCGGCACATTTGCTGTACATTGCGGCACAAGAAAGTACGTGCATCATCGCCGATGCAGCAATGGCTAACTTCCCGTGAAAAAATTGCGATTTTAGTCCAAATTGGATTCTTCTCCAATCCACGGCGAGTTCATACTTTCGACTAATAAACGCGCATCTGAATGATCTGAGAGGACCTGTAAGGGTTATTCGTTTCGCAAATCGCACGCTCAACTCATCACACTTGACAGAACAACGATTGTTTATTGTGTGGTGTTAAAGTAAAATCAAAAAATTAAATACCACGACCAAAACTTATAATATAAATATAGATAGACACGTAGCACAAGTATCGATTCGTTAAGGTCCGTTTCTATGCAGATAAGTTACACTACTTTAAGCTCGTATCAGACTACGGATTAAGATTGAGATTGAATTGAAATTTAGCCAATCAGAACAAAATTCACTAAGCTCAAGTTTGGTGAACTTGGCTCTGATTGGCCAATTTTCAATTCAATATCAATCTTAATCTATAGTCTGATACGGGCTTTAGTTATTTCACAGCAAGAGATGTTTCATTGGCTAGACATTGTTAAAAGATAATCTAAAGATAATTTTAGCCAATGAAATAATTTGTGTCTTCTGGGTGCGCTCAAAATCCTAGTCGGTGGCTAGAGTAATGGCTCCTGTACACAGGACGCGGTAAGGGCCCTTGCAAAATGTCAGGCAACAGGCAATAGGAACAGGCTATAGCCAATAGGAACAAGGAATAGAAATAATTGACCAATCAGAATTTCTAATCTCTGTTCCTATTGCCTGTTGCCTGGCATTCTGCAAAGGCCCTAATGCTTGCCGCGCGGTGGAAATCCGCGCGACAGCCAATCAATATGTTGTTTTTCCGTAAGAGCTAAAAGGTTATTACGGAAAGCAGCATATTGATTGGCTGTCACACGAACTTCCGCCGCGCGGCAAGCATTACCGCGTCCTGTGTGCAGGAGCCATAAAGCCAGCGGCACACGATGCTTGTTTTCATGCTGTATTATTTGCTGGATGGAAATACTCTGTTTTGATTGGTGCATTTCTAAAGACGGACCAATCAGAATAGAGTATTTCCATCCAGCAAGCAATCCAGCACAAAAACAAGCATTGGCTGCATTCAGTAGACTTAACAGTTGCACAACAGTTGAGTAATTTGTCAATGGGCGCATTCAGTAGAAAAAGCGCTCAGTGAGCAATTAACGATTATTGGTTCTTGCTATTAGATCCCTAAATCTAGACCAATTACATTGACAAATTACTCAACTGTTGTGCAACTGTTGAGTAATTTGTCAATATAATTAGTCTAGATTTAGGGATCTAATAGCAAGAACCAATAATCGTTGATTGCTCACTGAGCGCTTTTTCTACTGAATGCGCCCAATGACTAATTACTCAACCGTTGTGTAACCGTTGTGTCTCCTGAACGCACCCATTGTCGAATGAGATATGCATACCAAAATCCTATAGTTCATGCACAGAGAGAAGATTTTCTATTGTTAAATTAGTGTACACTTTCGGAACTTAAAAAGAGACAGATATATAGATAAAACTTAGTGAAAGAAAGAAAGATGAGAGAGAACTAGTGCGGACAGTTCAGCATAGAAAACAGACCCTATAGAAGCTAACTATAGAAGCGTAAATTATTCTATATTTGTGAAAATATATTATATATTGTGAACTATACTATATTTGTGAAAATTCGCTTAAGAATTTCGGTACTGTGATAAATGTAAACAATTTTTGTATGTTGATTAGTTTTCAACATCTTTGCTGAGGTGATTTCTTTAACAATCGGCGAGTTTATAAAAGGAGAAATAAAAGTTGCCGAAATGACAAGTGTTGAAGATGATCCATATGATATAGAAAAATGTACACAGTGGATTCAGACGAATGCATTAAATCAGGTTTATGAATATTTGTGTTTTTAAAGACATTTTATTTATACGTTAACGAAGTTATATTTGCGATTTTTTTTTTAAATCTTGGTTATCATATATATTTCATCAATTGTGTTTCATGAATTGAGGTTATATTTCAATGCAGCTCACTGAAGCTTACCGCTTATCGAATTACCCCATTTTTACGAGCAAAATAGTTATATTCTGTGAATATTTATATATTTATTGTAAATGAAATACGAGTCTTTGTAAATAAACGATTTTTTTAAATATAATACAATAATATATGCATTACTACTATCATTTATCACGTATAAATAATTACTACTATTACTAATCACTTATAAATAGTAGCAAAAGTTAGGTTAATTGTTAGCACTTACGCTTAATGTATGTGTATTTGGTGCTATAATTATTACCATTATTATTATATATAGTTTATTGTTGCTAATTACATATTTATTTATGGTATAAATTATTCTTGTACAGGTATGTCTGCAGTTTCCAGATAAGTTGTTACCAGATTCTGCAAAAGTTGCACTGCATTTAGAAAAAAATATAGGACAAAAAGTATATATCTTAGGTGACACAACCTGTGGTAGCTGTTGTGTTGATGAAATAGCAGCTGAACATGTTAATGCAGATGGTATAATACATTTTGGACATGCTTGCCTTAATCCTACCATTCGTTTGCCAGTTTTACATATCCTGCCAAAACAAGAGTTTGATGTAAAGAACCTTATTAATGAATTCAAGCGAGTTTTCCAAGATGATACAAGGAAAATTATATTTTTTTATGACGTGGAATATGCACATAAAATTGGTAAGCTGTTATTAAGTAAGAAAAAAGTTTATTATTAAAGTACTTAATATGTTAATAGGAATATATATAAAATATGAATCAGGAAGGTCATTTATATTTAACACTGTTTTTATAGCTACAGATATGTAATATGTTTTATATAACTTTTTTTTACAGAATATGTATATAATATATTGAGATCTATGTATAAACATTTAATTTTATCTAAATTGAATTGTAAATCGAATGTGGAATATACTGATACAAAGACAACCCTAGATAAAGTCATTTTGGGTAGAAATTACACATTAGAAGAAGAGTATAATATACAAGATTATGAAGGATTTTTTTTGGGAGAGGAAGGAAAAACTCTTAGAATATTAGCGATGAGCATACCTATGAAAAGATGGTATTGCTTTATAAATAATAAAATTAATGAATTTGATGCACTAAATGCACCTTGGTTAAAACAAAGGAGGTTTTTAGTGGAAAAATTGAAGGATGCCAAAACTGTAGGCATTGTGGTTGCCACATTAGGTATTAAAGAATATCTGACAGCTATAACAACAGTCAAAGAAATTCTGAAGAAGAAGAATAAGAAAACTTATACCCTTTGCATAGGCAAGATAACTCCTGCCAAACTTGCAAATTTTCCTGAGGTATGTCAAACATATTATAGCAAAGTATATTTGATATTCATTTAATCTCACTGCTTTGTGATTATATTAATAACAAATATATGATTATGATTTCAGATTAACGCTTTTGTTGTGGTAGCTTGCCCGGAAAATGAAGTATTCGACTCGAGAGATTTCTTTCAACCCATACTTACGCCATATGAAGTTGAATTGGCATTTAACACTGCCAGGGAGTTTTGCCCGCAATATTTCATGGACTTTCGGCAAATATTACCCGGTGGCATTCATTACGTTGATTTTAAACCATCGACGGACTCGGATATTTCTCTCATCAGTGGTGATGTTAGAAACTGCAAGGATGATGCTTTGTGTGTGGGCCAAATGAACGCTCTAACAATTCGTTCATCAGGTATTATTCATTTATTTAAGTATATATTTATTTAATATTTAACATATTTAAATTGTGAAGTTATTTAAGTTAAAAATATAATAAAATAGTAAAATATTAGATTAAAATTCTTCAAAATTATCTTTCCAACAAAACGTGATATTGATGTTTAATTTTTTGCTGCATCAAATTAATTTTTTCTGTACAATTTTAATTAAGATTTTCTGCACAATTTTTGCATACTAATGAAATCTCAACTCAATAATTCGCGACATTATTTTCTAGCAATACTATAATTCCTTTATATTACAATATAATATGTCTATTCCCAAAACTACCAAAACATATCTATATCACAATAATTATTTCCTAGCAATGACTACAATGATTAACATAGTGATTCCTCTGATAGGTACTGTTGCTATTGGTATGGCTGGGGCTCAGTACTTGCAAGAAAGATCTTGGAGAGGTGTTGAACAAAGATTAGGTGAGGATCCTGTACTACCAGCAGAAATTGGTCGTATCGGATTAGCATGCCAATATACGAATGAACCTCTAAATACAGATAAGTGTGATGCAGAAACGTAATAAATGCTATATAATTCTACATACACTTATTATGTGATATATCATTGTAATACTTACGATAAAATATAAAGATAAATATATTAATATTCAAGCTGTCAAAATATGCAATGACAGTTGCTTAAATATCGAATAAGGCACAGTGAGAGCCAAACGAAATCATGAAAAGAGGGATGACAATAAAAATCAATAATTCCCATTTTATTTGCGTTTTGATAGCAGATTTTATTTAATTAGTATAAAGGTCAATTTAACTAACAATAACATTATTAATATGTGTTTCTATTAGTGTTACTGACAAATGTTGACAGTTTCACCCAAAATTGCTGAAAACAATTGTTTCCAACAAATTACAAAATAAGTTAATTATTTTGCTATTAACTTTGTTATCTTGGGGTGAAAAATGTTAATAACATTTATTTTCAATATTTTATAGGAAACAAGTATTATTGACAATTTACTTATTTAGTATCATGTCAATAGTTTTATCACCAACATTATTAGAAACATTATTTTTGCAACTCATCACGTAATAGTCTAGATCAAAAGCAAATGTTAGCACAAAATTGAACTAGACATGTGTTAGCAACTGTTAATAACAAGGATTTTGTCTTAACTAATTATAAAAGTTGTCAAATTTATATATAGTACTAGTATTTAATATGTTATTTGCTAGTAACAATAGTTAAAATTTTCCCACTACTGAAAATATTTGAGAATATTTTTGTTAATAATATTAGTAGGTTCAAAGTAATTTTTCTAACTTTGTAGATGATATTTATGTTTTCCACATTGTTAAAAGCATATTTTACTAGAAACATGCAATAAAGCGTTTTCTGAAGAACACAGTCTTGTTAAGGACATTTTTTATTAGCTCTGCTATTATTTTTCGATGTAAACCGGTTTTAAGAATCATAGAAAAAATGAATATGTTTCTTATTAATCAATTTAATATCGGTAGATTATATTCGCAAGTACATTACGTGTTTTAAGTTGCGTAATAATGACCTGATTAATTGTGATCAATGACGTGTCCTCTTTACGATCGTCGATGAGCAAATTTGCACATTCTCTCTATGGTGTCAACGTGCGAGCACGAATTCCGCAGTATTTCGCCAATGAGATCAACAGCGACGTAGGGAATTTTCTTACATTCAACTGGCACGCATGCGTCTGGTTTCGAATACTCTGATTCACTGGTCGAACGTCAGACGTCACTTTTGCGTGACACGCAGTGAGTCTGGCGAAATACTGGTTCTTTCGTGAAAAAAGCTGTGAAGTTGCCTTCTGCTACCTGCGAAATAATGCTTTATCGTTGAAACAATGACGATGTCTCGAGCACGCTTGGTGCTGTCCTGCAAGTGGAGTTTTCTCGTTGTCGCTTTACTACTGTGCAACGTATCGCGACATACATCGCACTGCGAAGAGGTAGCTAACCTCAAAAGCGACAATGTCACCGACAACAAGACCACGTCCACGCTGACGGATAGCCCGAGAGCTTTGGCCGCCACGTCGCTCCCGGAATTGTTCAGCACAGTGCGAGCCGCGAACAATAGCCCGAGCAACACCTCGAGCAATACCGGCAATCACAACGTCAGCTCCTCGACTCCGAAGCCACCGACCACAGTTGCGAGCACAGCGCATTCTAAGAACGTCGTGAACGACCATACGACCGAGAAGACCGGGACGTCGTCGAGTCCTGCGAGCGACAAGAACGTGACCGCCGCATCGGACATCCCCGTGTCGTCGCAAGCTCCAGATGCCGCGAATACAACGAACACGAGCACCACCACCGTCGCCCCGGCGGAGCCGGTTCTGCCCGACAAAGGCTCCGCGGAGGAGGAGCACAACAGCTCGATGTCCATATTTTTCGTGTTGTGCGTGCTGGCTCTCGGGATACTGCTCATACACATGATGCTGCATATGAATTTCCAATACCTGCCTGAGTCAGTGGTGATAGTCGTGCTGGGCGCTCTGATCGGCATGATCATCAATCTTATGTCGCACCAGAACATCGCCAACTGGCGTAAAGAGGAGGCCTTCTCGCCGACCGCGTTCTTCCTCGTCCTCCTGCCGCCCATCATATTCGAGTCGGGATATAACCTGCACAAGGGGAACTTCTTTCAGAACATCGGCAGTATCATGGTGTTCGCCATTTTCGGCACGGCCATCTCCGCTTTCGTCATCGGCGCCGGGATTTACCTGCTCGGCTTGGCGCAGGTCGCCTATAAGCTTAGCTTCGTCGAGAGCTTCGCGTTTGGATCGCTGATTTCCGCGGTCGATCCCGTCGCCACGGTCGCGATTTTTCACGCGTTGGATGTTGACCCGGTCCTGAACATGTTGGTCTTCGGGGAATCCATCCTGAATGACGCCATCTCCATCGTATTGACCACTTCTGTTTTGGAGTCAAATAACGCCACCACTACCAGTGAGGCTATCATACTTGGCTTGAATCGATTTTGTCTCATGTTCTTTGCGTCAGCAGGAATCGGCGTGGTCTTCGCTCTGATAAGCGCGCTTCTCCTGAAGCATGTGGATCTCAGGAAAAATCCATCTCTGGAGTTTGGCATCATGTTGGTGTTCACATACGCCCCGTATGTTTTGGCAGAAGGCATACAGCTCTCAGGTGAACGTTTGCGATTGTACTATAATAGAGAATGTCCTTCTGAAGTTACTGTCTATTTGGCAAGTTAAAACGAATTTTGAAGCGATGGCTTAATTTCAAGATTATGTACATACTGACTGTGTTCAGCAGAAAAAGCTGCTTTGCAACTGTTGCAAAATTTCTGAGTCTGATTGATATATGCTCCTATTCTATGCTACTGGATTCAGCTAAGAACAATTAAAGTAGCTTTTTCTGCTGAAAGCAACCACTAGTTTGAACTACCTAGTGTTGTCTGAGTTACCACAAAGTGTTAAAAGGATGAAATCAGAGGAAGGATAGTTACTAAAAAGTAACTATGCAAAACAATAATAGAAACTACCTAAATTAACTTAATGACAAAATTGGACTAAATAGGTCAAAAGGCTCAGGAGTCTATAGAGAATATACAGACAGACATTTTATTTTATATATGTAGATTTGTGTGCATCATATATAGAAAATAAGAACTTTAAAAATAATTTCTTAGTTTCATAGTTGAAAACTTTAACTATTACATTTGATGAATTAAAATAAATTTCCAAGTAATGGTTTAATTTCAAGATTATATACATATTTGTACATATATCATAGAAAATGAGAATCTTAAATCACTAGTTTTATCACTCAAAAATTTAATTATATTCTACGTGTGTACTACTGGTGTTTTTACAAATCTCAAATCAGTTAATGTGTTGTGAAATATATTTACAAGCATTTTAAATATCAATTTTCTCCTTATGATTTCTAAAATTTCATATATATATCTTTAAATTCTTTTCTAGACATACCCTTTAACAAAGCCTTAGGCAAAATAATTGTATTAAATGTGGAAATTGTGCAAGCCCAAGTTTGAGAGTCATTTTATTTCACTAAACAGATAGGGACTTTAGAAAGATTATATACGATCGTATTAATTGATAAAATTCATATGTCGCTTGTATCTTACACATTGCATATAATTATTACAGGAATTATGGCAATCTTGTTCAATGGAATAGTCATGTCACACTACACGCATTTCAACTTGTCAACTGTTACGCAGATTACAATGCAGCAAACAATGCGAACGTTAGCCTTTATAGCTGAGACCTGTGTATTCGCGTACTTGGGATTGGCAATATTTAGCTTTAGACACAGGGTAAATGAATCACATATATCTGATTATTATACAATAATAATAATATAATAGTTTTTTCATTGTTTTTGTTTTTTTTCAACAGGTCGAACCAGCCTTGGTCGTTTGGTCTCTAATCTTGTGTCTAATTGGAAGAGCCGCAAATATCTTTCCGCTGGCGTTGCTCGTTAATCGCTTTCGCGAGCACCAAATCACGAGGAAAATGATGTTTATCATGTGGTTCAGCGGTTTGCGCGGCGCCATATCATACGCGTTATCGCTCCACTTAAACTTCAGTGATGAGACGCGTCACGTTATTATAACGACGACGCTTATCATCGTATTATTTACGACCTTGATATTTGGCGGCTCTACTATGCCCCTATTAAAATTCCTGAGAGCCGAAAAGAAGCAGAAGAGCAGCAGAAGAAAGAAGAAAGATAAGGAAGTCTCATTGAGTAAAACTAGAGAATGGGTAATTGAAAGCTTTCACCTAATAGTGCAATTAATTAATACGATGTGTATTTATTTTTATATTTGTTACATGTTTGCATTTTTATATGTATAATATTATTTTGTAGGGACAAACTATAGATTCTGAACATTTATCAGAACTGACGGAGGAAGAGATGGAAGTGTCCTTCTTGCAATCGCGGATTCGCGGTTTTGCTAGGTGGGATTTGAAGTTCTTCATTCCGTTCTTCACGAGGCGTTTTACGCAGCAGGAGCTGAAGGATTGCAAGTCACAAATGACAGATCTGACGAATCAGTGGTACCAAGCGATCAGAATTAGCCCGATGGATTCCGACGACGAAGCGACCACGGCGTCCACCGCGCAGTTAAATCTCAATGTTTGCGGAACAGCTAGGGAACAAGCGAACGGGAAGGAGAAGACCGGTCGTCCTAGTCATGGGTCTATATTAAGTATTTAACTTACTTTGTGTGTGGTGTGTCTTTAAATGTGTGTTGGACAACGCGCGCTTTCAACTACATTGCCTCTGTAAATGGGTGTATATAAGTATTTAATATCAGTATTAGAGATCTGTAATACGGATATATAGGTCTTTCTAAGGATGAGAATATATTTTATTTTTGTTATAAAGCTGCTAACGTTGCTCCGATGGATGGAAAGCTTTTACACAATTCTCTGTATAAGAGTCAGTATCATATACTGTCTTTCTGATTCTCTTTAAGTCGTTTATTGCCTAGTCTATTTTGACTCATTATGTATGTTTTTCTATTTACAATTATGCTTCATTAGTCTATTTCCATAGTTTACAATTAACCATACAAAAAAGGAAAACGGAGAAACTGAATTTACAGCACTTTTTACTTACCAGTTTGTTCAGCAAATTATATGTAGCTATATCTCAGTGAGATTTTCCTACGATCTTGATAGCTTATTTCATTTTCGTATTATTTATTTCTTCTTGTCTCACTAATCTTTTATATACATCTCTATACAGTTGTGTATTTATAATCATTATTATACATTATTAAAATATTGCTTATATAGCAAAAACAGCAGTGTATTGTCCGAGACGCTTGCTTTATTCAAAGCAGCTTGGCGATGGTGATGGGCAGTGAATCGATTTTATTGAGGTCATAAAGTATTAACGAAAGTGCTGTTAATTTACAGAACCGAGGAGGATTCGTCTGACTAAAAGACCAACTTGTTCCCGTTAATATTACGGATGATGTTTACTGTGTCATTAATGTAATTCGTATGATTCTACTTTAACTACACAGTATATATTTGTTGAGTGGACGGAGATTATTTATATAATCCGATATTTTCATTGGTATAAGACGTGTGTACAGGTAGACAAATTTCTACTTAATCTTGTTATTCACCGTAGTAATTGCCATGATTTTAGGATCTTTTTCGATGGCTGTATGCTATCGAGCTACCGGAAATAATACAAAATATTAAGTATCGCTATGGCAATCATCACGATGAAATACTTTGTATATTAGAAGTTATTTTTCATCATATATGAAATGGTGATATTAAGTGCAAACAACGAAATTTGTTACGGCAATGTACCGATAATATCGCACAACGTTGTATTGAATTTAGTGTATTTCGCGATTATGTAGTATAATAATTATTATTTATATAGTTATATTTATATATATTAAGTGATAAAGGGTTTGGACGAGACTTGACGAGTTACCAGTAGTATTTAGCAAATTGATCGGAATAATTTATAGCATTTTAATTTGTTTGCGACGTAGATAATAGATTCTCTGACGCGTTTGATTTCTGAACTTATCGTTCACTTCTCTTATACAAGATTGTTTAACTGCATTCGTGTTACAAAAAGAATTGCATTTTCAGATTATAATGCTACTAGAACGATATAAAATAAATCGTATAATCATTTTATAGTTTTATCATCGATACATTTTGATTTGTGTATAAATTACTTTAAAAAATAACAAATTAGGTCAATCGAATGAACAATCAGCAAAATGTAACAGACATTAAAATGATTTGATTTTTAGCTGTTAATTACTCGCGGCGATATTGCTGCGAAAAAGAAACATCTCATTTATTGTCGGACTCGCGTAAGCATATGTTTCCATATCATATCACTCTCAGGAGGATGTGCGACCGTATTATCTCGTTTCCTTGGGACCGAGCGTGTTTAACCCATCGTATAATTTTCATATTTAGACACATATTAGCCAGTGAAAATTCTATACGAATACTGTGTGACCACTGTAACGATTCAAATCGAGCGGTGTATGTAATAAGTATTGGCATTCGGCAGGCAATATACAATTGTACGACGAATATATACATATAATATCACTTTTCGTTCAATATCTCAAAGATATCTAAAAGAAACATAGTATACTGTACGTTGCACTTTACGATCGCAGCTCGGTAATCATGCAGGGACAATAAAGGTGATATATAATTTGTGATATACAGAAAATATATATATACAAAAAGCACAATGATTCTTGTAATAGATTCCAGTTCTACTACTCTCTCCTCGAAGCGTAGATGAAGCGTATGTGACGAATGAGAAGGGAGAAGTCAGCGGCGTCGTTTTATTTTGTTGCGAATTTATTTCTCATATTATATATCGATATCGATCTCGAGAGGTGGGTACATGGTTGTCCTGTGTATGTGTGTGTGAGTGTGTGTGTCTGTGTTTATCTTACTTTTTTTTTTTTTGCGGCACGGCACATAATGGAGGCAGCGTCTAAACATCAAATCCATTTATTCGTTCGGTTCGTTAACGCTATTTTATGTTCTAGAGCACTGTTAACGCCTCGCATGGTCGTACATCGAGCGACTGGAGCATAAGAGACGTTAATGTATGATACATCAGCGATTATATTATTCGGTGTTCTCTTGAGACTTCTTTTCAACGGCATCGTGTTTCATACAGGTATTTATTCCGTGTGCGCGACCTTGATTGTACGATACACCCCGGCGAATGAATGAATGAATGAATGAATGAATGAGTGAATGAATGAATGAATTAATTAACGTGTGTTCTTGAATATTTGTTATGCAAAGAGGGAAAAGAGGAATATCCCAAATATGAGGAATTAACAGACTACGAGCGATGGAGATTCGCTACAAAATTGGCGAATATATTAAAACTATCGAACTCCCTCGCACCATTTTCACATACATGTTGAGGAGCTTTGATGAACAGATTGCGTATAATCGCAGAAGATTATTTCTCATAATCTTCGGCGAGTATGTAGAATCTCTCTAGAGATCTTTGAAAATCTCCATAACATGTATATGTTCCTCCATACTTACGTATTCTATATTTTTCCTGAGTGATTAGACGACTTGTCTCCTATTACAGAAAATGAGGATAATCATGTAATAACTAATTCCGAAACAGAACAGAAAACTCGTCCTAATGTGCGCTGCAAAATTTGCACGTCGCTAGAAACTAAATCTCTTGCGCTTCCGTCGTTCCATAATGGAATATGTAGAAAAAGAGGTCTTCGTAATAAGATAAAGGAGTCCAGCCTATCGATTCTGTAATTTTTAACAACAGTGTCGTTATGTTGTCATTACGCAGTTTTTCTATCATGCACTATACTTGCACAATGATAACAACTAATCTATCCTTAAAAATTACAGAATTCTCAAATTAAGACTTCAAGGGAGCTTCTGACTTCTCGGTCATTTTGATTTACGACGTCAGAAGCGAGAAAATACACGCTTTTGTAAAATATGTAGGAATAAAAAGATGTATTCGTAGAATGACATTTACAATCGAATGCGTAAATGGTCCGAACACTTTTCTTTTGTTCTAACGATCAATAAATAGCTGTAAAACTAACACGACAAGATTAAGAGGAAATGTAAGTTAAAAAGGTAGACGCGCGTATCGCGTTAATTTTACGAAAATTTATTGATAGAGCGAAAAGAAAATGTTCCGCGACTATTTTTCGACAGATGTCCGATTAATTGTAAGTGTTATTTTATGGATATATATATTTTTATCTCAACGTTTGCACAAATTTTTATCATGCATTTTCTCACTTTTTACGTCATCAATAGAGAGTTCCGCGGCGAAGTACCAGGGGCCCTTAAAATACCCAGTCAATACCTACTATAACAGTAACATCGCGTCAATAATATAATTTTCCATTCAACGATATAGTTGTATATATACATATACGTACAACGTATGTTATATTACATATATTGTCGAGTAGTAAATTATAATATTAATGTAATGTTACTATTAATTGGTGCGAGTGTTGGACATTAATCGATCAACATTTTCTTTGACTAAAATAATTAGTAAATCAATAATCAGAATTAACCCACACAATCATATATGAAATTATAAATAATTTTATCGACTAATGAAATTAAGAGGAGCTTCTAAACCTCCCTTAATTATTAATCAAACTTTGATGTGATTGATTATATACTGATAATTAATTTCATCAATCAATTAAATTATTTGTGATTATATATTACGATTGATTAATTTTGGCCATTGATTTTTCCATTATTTCAAAGAAAATTTTAATCGATTAATTAGCCCAACACTGGTGCTTTCTGGGTGTTTATGGCTAACTAAGATTTCTACGCGCGGGATGAGTTTCTGTCGAACTGAACTCTTTACTGTCCAAATTCCAAGTCGAATCACGTTTTCAATATATATATTCTTCCAGCGTCTCTCTTTGCGTTTCTCTTCGTTCGATCGTTGACTATTACAACTTCGAAGCTGAATTCTAAAAATATCAATTAATTTTTCTCCAATTTAATAATTGATTTGAATAAATAGGTGAAAATAATTAAACAACAGTTGAAATAATGAGACAAATTATTGAAAAATTATCGGACAATTATTGAAAAATAGTTTTAATCCAATTAATTGACGATTCGAGCAAAATTAATCGAAGAATGTTTAATTGACGACTTCTATTTCAAAACGAATTCTATTAAAGATCATTCAATTGGTGTCTGATATCAGCGAAGGGAATCAATTGTTCAATTAACAATTGAACTTGGCAAATTTAATTAAAAGCCATTGATATGAGCAAACTCAATCGATTCAATCGAAGAGAATTCAACCACTCAACGTTACAATTGATTTTGTTGATAAATCCATTCCCGGAGCATCATGGTCTCGTGGAAGATGCCGATAACTGAGATGCTAAGTAGGATGCTAAGTTTAATCTGGGTTGAGAGTGGCACTGACCATATCAATCGCCACCGGACAATCTTCGATCGAATTTGCACATATCAATCGTCAATTAAGCGGCTTTGAATTAAATTCGCCAAGTTCAATCATTAATTAAACGATCTTAAATTCCCTTCGCTTATATCAATCATCAATTGATAGCTTTTGAATCTGTTGAAATCAATCGTCAATCGTACGGTTTTCGATTAAATTTCTTGAAATCAGTTGTCCAATTGAACTCCAATTTGAATTGACTCGTATCTCTCAATCGTCAATTAAACACGATAATTACTCAAAGAAGTGATCAATTGCTCGCAACTCCGCTCCGAAGTCGCAACGCAGATTCCAAACACCACAACCCGCCACCTTGAAGTGCAGATCTCCGGGACAACAGAGAGAGTCGATCGCGATACGTCTACTGTGCTTATGGGAAAAAATCTCATGATACGTGCGATGCCTGTCGTTTCCACGTGGCGTCTTCGCATACGGACATATACACAACTCGTGCGCGGCGCAATCAGGCGGCTAAGCAGTCGATCGAGCGGACTTGATCTCTCCGGTCCTCTCGCCGATTCGATCGCCAGCTAGCAGTAGCAGTGACAAAGGGCATATTTTTATCGCGCTAATCTGGGATATTGTCTAAGAGCGCTTGCGGCACCGCCGCCGCCGCCGCTTCTTTCCTTGTCCCGATGCTCCAGTCGTTTTTCTCGCACACGTCATCCGGGGCTACGTTCGAACGATCACTCGCATGTCCCGTTTCGGCTCGGTGAACTTCTAAAAATGATCGTCACGTATCGTATCGTGTGGGCGCCTACGTACGCCTTCTATCGACATAGTTACACCCTTATTAAACGCGTTCCTCGCAGCCGGCGAAGGTCCTCGGACTGCTCGCCGGCGAGCGAGCGATCGGCTAAGCATGCAAAGTTTTTTAAATGGCTCTCTCTTTCTCTCTCTCACACTTTCTTTTTTTCCTAACACGCTACGACCAATATGACTATGTACCAATCAGTGAGATGGTGATAATAATAACAATGTGTTATCGTACACCGCGCGATTTCACATCTCTGCGCAACCCAGTACTTCGTCGTTTTCCCGGATCCTTTTTTCTTGACCTGCCTTGTGTGTGCGGTCGTTATACACTTTTTCCTCTTGTCTCCTCTTTTCTTTAACGTACGCTGATCCGACTCCGGGGTCTTCCTTTGGTCGATTACCAATCGTCGATTCTAATACGCGAACACGCTCTTCTAAAAATGTGCAAAACCCCCACGCGGGTTTACTCGCAATATTTACAGTATCTCACGTTATGACTTACGCGTAATAAAAGTTGGTGTTGTCTCTTCCCTTTCGGGCTGCATTCCGATTTTCCACCCGGCTGGGAAAGTACTACAGAATATGTAACATATATTATAGTACTTCTAATATTATAGTGTACTCGGGTGGGAAATCCGAACGTACCTTTGAGTAGCGAAGCTTCTCTCTCTCTCTCTCTTTCTCTCACACACACATACTCGTTCTTTTTCGTAGTCGCGCTCGCGCGACCCGGCAATTCCGATTTCTTAAGATTAAAAGAGGAGATCGCGCACGATCCTTCTGCACATCCCTTCTCGTTCGCATAATTTTCGCTCGCTCCTCGTTTTCAAGGCCACCACCACCATCACCATCACTACTTTTCTCGGTCCTCGGCATTCATATTCGATTTACACGCCTTGACGGACAACAATACCGATATTCGTCCTTGCGGACTAAACAGAGGCGGATTCCCGCGACGATTATGATTAAGTATATCTGACGTTCGTGCAATAGAATTTCGTCGCTGCATGTCGTTTGACGTCGTGCAACGTATCGCACGCATATATTATCGATCGCCTCCAAATCAAACGGCAACTGAAGTCGTGGCTCGACTACAAGAGCATACCGACAATTAGACCGCAAGTACGCTTATTCGCTCACTCTGATCCTACAGCAGCGTTGTGCCGTAGATTCCAAGAGCACGTCTACGCAAGTTGTTTACGGTATCCAGATAGACATATTTCGACATATTATCTGCTCGATGATTAACACAGATACGCAAGGATGCGTCTTCATATAACGGGAATTTGCTCAGTATGTAAAAGAAGTAATTTGATTAAAAATTGTTGGCAATATTACGACGATATTCTGATGCCATGAAAATTGCTGCTTATTCTGTCAGAAAAATAATGCAATTATAATCCGCGATTATTGTATAATATTTTGAATAAAATTATGACATAATAAATGGATATCTCTTAAAACAAGTATATATCAAACACTTTATGTGTTATTATAACAGCACTACAAAGTAAATATTTACATGTTCAGCATCTCTGTCTATCTGGATATTTTCTGGGTATGTACGTGACGCACATACATGGTCGTTTTTCATGTAGACAATGTAAATTATGTAAAATATTGCAAATTGCATTAAGATATAAAGAAAATAATTAAATTATGAGACAGCGTATTAATTTTAGGTATTCGTTATAAATGTAATATTTAAAAGTATGACAACAGATAGCATGGAATTTCCGTCACGTTATGTGACAGATTTAATATAACTCTGAGAATATAACCAGATTTAATATAACTCTGAGAATATAACCAGAAAATTCTGTGGACTCTGACTCGTTTAGGAAACGTTTCCTAAACAGAAGTCTGCATCAGGATTTCAAAGATCAAGTAAAAATTTAAACTTTTCAGCAAGCCACACGTTCTTTATGCAACATTCATAGATTGCTGATTATCTGTACAGATGACATCCCCATACATAGTTTACGTTGTCTGCACGTGAAGTATCATAATTTGAACGCGTAAACTGCCCAACCCTGCCCTAAAATACATATAATTCGCAAGTGTTAACGCATCGCATCGGATTGACACTCTCGAGATCCTCATCGTGATCGGTATGCCGAATTGAACGGATTTCGCTCGAGATACAACGTTTAGAATCTGCCGATTGGAACATGAGTTCCACTGCGATGCTTCGTAATTGGGTCCCTGTATAGCATACACCGTTTCCCCTTTCAATCGACCATCCCTGATCATTTTCCGCGAGTGTTATGTATTATTATGCGCGAGGAATCTATCGCAAAAAAAAAAAAACAGCGCTTGTCTCCCATCCTCTCTCTCTCTCTCTTTCTTCCTTTCTTCGTCTTTCTTCCTTTTCTCTATCTACTTCGCACAAATAAAATTATCCGCTGGAGAGTCGGAGGGGACATACATCTCGTACATCAACAGCTATACACAGTTTACTGTTATTGTTTGTTAATTTCCTCCTAACTATCTTAACGCCAAGCAGCGAGTCACACCTACGTAAGTTTTATCGTTCTATATATATATTCATATATTTATGTATATATATATATATATATATATATATATATATATATATATAT